GGTTGCCAGGAGCCCAGCTCTCTGCTGGCCAAGTGGCATTTTACCACTCAGTGTCTGGTCTCAAATGTGCCTTTGTTCTGCCAGCGTGAAACAAAAGGTCCCTAGTGCCGCTTGCGGGGGGGGGGGGGGAGCTGGCGAAGTGGGCTGGGCCAGGCCTTTCAGAGTGGGGCACGTGATCCGTCCAAGGGAACCCTGAGAGATTCCAGAGCGATGTAACAGCACCCCGTTCTAGCCACAACTTGCCGGACAAGACACGGTGGGGCTACTGCGTGATTTAAAGAAAGAGAGACAGAAAGCGGTGCCAGGGTTCAGCCGGCCTGGCAGTCATGTCTGATGGTCCAAAATCTGTTCTTCTCTTCTATGGTAAAGGTAAAGGTTCCCTTGCTCGAAAGCCAGTCGAATCCGACTCTAGGGTTGCGGTGCTCATCTCCGTTTCAAAGCCGAAGAGCCAGCGCTGTCCGAAGAAGTTTCCGTGGTCACGTGGCCGGCATGACTAAACACCAAGGCGCACGGAACGCTGTTCCCTTCCCACCGAAGCGGTCCCTATTTATCTACTTGCAATTTCTTGCTTTCGAACTGCTAGGTTGGCAGGAGCTGGAACTAGAGTAGGGTTGCCAAGTCCTGCAAACTCACCGGCGGGGGAGGCTCCGATGGGTCCGGGAGCTGGCTCCGGATGCGCGCGCACCGCCAGCACGTCAACGGAAGTGACGTGCGACGTCGCTCACGTTGGGGGTGTGACCCAAAACCTATGGTTCCCCCCCAGCGATCTGGGCCACGCCCCCAACGCGAGCGACGTGGCGACGCAGCTTTGGGGGGCGGAGTCCCCCCCGGGGCCCGATTCCACCGGAAATTGGGCCTCATAAGGGGGTTTCCCCGCCCCCCGCCCCCACTTGGCAGCCCTAAACTAGAGACGGGAGCTCACCCCGCCATGCGGCACACTCGGGTCTCGAATTGCTGAACTACCGACCTTCCACAGCCTGCAGTTCTGCGTCTTAACCACTTGAGCCACTGCAGCTCCCTTTCTTCTTCCTCTTCTCTCTTTCTCTCTTCTACCCCCCCCCCAAATCCCATTTAAAGGATATTCTGCACATGCTTTTGAGGTGCGTTCCCCATGGGATGATTTCTGGCGTTCTGCAGCCATACCCCAGGTGAAGGGCAGTTAGGAAGTCAGGATTTGGGGCAGAGCCCAGAAGGCACGGAGGAACCTCTTTACTGGGTGTGTGCGCGTGCAGTTTATTTGGGGAGGTAAAATAGGGGAGGCCATAATCAATGCTCCCTCTAAGCTGTGGAGCCCTGTGAGCAAAAATTCTACTTTGTGAGCAACCGGCCTTAAAGCTGTGAGCGAGCGAGTTGGCTACTGCATCAATTAGTGTGCTCTGGAGCCCTCCTTCCTGAGCTGAGACAAAAACATGTGAGCCGGAGGCTAGAAAACTGTGAGCTAGCTCACACTCACTCAGCTGAGAGGGAATGCTGGCCATAACCAGGATGGCCTGATCTCGCCAGATCTCGGAAGCTAAGCAGGGTCGGCCCTGGCTAGTGTTTGGACGGGAGGCCACCGAGGGCATCCAGGGTCACTACAAAGAGGCCGGACACGACAAAGCACCTCTGAACCTCTCTTGTCTTGGAAGCCCTACAGCAGTGATGGCGAACCTTTCAGAGACCGAGTGCCCAAACTGCGACCCAAAACCCACTTACTTATCGCAAAGTGCCAACACGGCCATTTAACCTGAATACCGAGGTTTTACTTTAGAAAAAACAACCCCTACATTAACTTAAGGTGATCCAAACAAAGTAAGGAAAGCAATCCCAAAGGCTTTCATTGACTTAAAATTATTTGGCAGAGAATTCGACACTTGAATGATGGTCTGGGCCTGGCTGGGGCGATGGCACGCGTGCCCACAGAGAGGGCTCTGAGTGCCACCTCTGGCACCCGTGCCATAGGTTCGCCACCACTGCCCTACAGGGTCTCACCATAAGTCAGCTGCGGTTTGACAGCAAAGGCTCTGTGTGTGTGTGTGTGTGTGTGTGTGTGTCTGTGTGTAGCAGTGTTCCCTCTAAGCTGAGTTAGTGCGAGCTAGCTCACAGTTCTTTCGTCTCCGGCTCACACACTTTTGTCTCTGCTCAGGAAGGGATGGCTCCAGAGCAAACTGATTTGTGCAGCAGCCCAATCGCTCTCTCACGACTTCGGTGCCAGTCACTCACAAAGTAGAATTTTTGCTCGCGAGACTCCACAGCTTAGAGGGAGCACTGGTGTATAGACGGTGCACATTGTGGCGCCCTGCCAGGGGATGGGGAAAGGAAGGGGCGAGCTTTTGTGGATTTCCGTGCCTCCCCAGAGAGGTGGGTGCCAAGCTGGGAATAGCTCTCTGCGTGGGAGGTTTCTGCTCTGGGGAAGGAGGGTGTGAAGACAGTACGGCACGACACTCTCGGGTGGTGGGGGCCGGCTGGGACAGGCGGATGCTGGGGGGGGGAAGGGTCCCCACGAGCAGTCGCAGTTTGTTCGCTCTTTTCCGTTGCACATTCACGCTCACACACTTACCTCCCTAAAAAGCCTGGCTGCAGAAGGCTGCTGTGTTCTGTTAATCTATTGTTCAGAAATTGTTTTCCCAAAGAGAAGAGCTGCCAAGGTCAGAAGGCGGCCTGCAGTTCCCTGTAGAGGCTGAAGTTCATGGGGTGACTCTCCGACTAGCAAGGCGACTCTCTGTGTAATCAGTTGCTGCTTCAGATGTTTCTAATATCTGGTTTGAGGTTCCCTTTTTGAGCTTTGTGGGAAGGATGCTTCGGTGTCACTTGAATTGAATTAAGTGAATAGCTGAACGGTATTGAGTTAATTGTTTAGTAAGTAGGATTTCTAGCTATAGGACCATCCAACCAATTGGAAATAGCTATTGCGATTGTTATTATTGATTAGATTTAGACTAGATTGATAGGAAAATTGGGAAGAATTGCAGGGAGGGCAGGGTATAAATGTGATGATGATGATGATTATTATTATTATTAATAATAATAATAATTCTAAAACAAGAGGTTCAGGTAGTGACACCCGCCTCCTTGCTGTACCCTGTCTCTGTTCTGAAATACGTCTGGATCGCCCTCTTTTATTACATAGTCTGCGTTTCACCACAGTGGAGACCCGAAGCAGCTGGTTTCATTTCCCTTTCCTCCCTTTTATCCTCACAACAACCCTGCCAGGTAGGTTAGGCCGAGAGTGTGTGGCTGGACCCAGTGAGCTTCCATGGCAGAGTTGGGATTCAAACCTGGGTTCATCAGATCCCAGTCTGACACTTCAAGCCCTACACCTTGCTGGCTCTTGTACTTAGTATGTTTTCTTGTGGACCTCGGCCTTCTGTGATTGACTTTCCCACCTGAGCAGCTGGAGTATTTCTGAACATTCTGTGAACCTTGTAATAGCTCAACTGGTACTTTATGAAGTTCGGAGACAGGCCACGATCAGAGAGGGGGAAACGCTCTGGCTACTCTTTCCTGGAGATGATAGGACTGTGTCAGGGCTGTTTCACTTCTGACCTCCCATGTAGAGGAGGAAGCGATCCTTGGTTTAATGCGCACCTTCTCCGTACAAAACTTCCATGCTTGTAGATAACCAGCAGGTGGGGCGGAAAGCAAAGACAGAAATTGCTCTCCATGACATGCTAATTTTCTGTGCGCAGGGAAAGTTTTTGGGGATATCTCCCCCCCCCCCCGGCTGCCTGAAGTCATACAGTTCTTAAGTCCCCTAGGAAAACTAGGATTCACACTTGAAGTCTTCCTTCCTTGTGTGTTTGCTTCCTTGGGCATTTTCACTGTTTGCTGTTCTCTTCCTCTCTCTTCGCTCCCACACTTGCTCCTGAGAAAATGCCCCTTGTCCCTTTGGGGAGTCGGCTGAAGGGAGAGCGAGTGTTTACTGCTGCTTTAGCTGGACAGAGCAGTGTTGGTGATCTTGGCCTTACACCCTTCGCCACCTCAGATCATTGACGGAGATGTAGGGAGGTCACGGAATGCTCATAAACATTCTGACAGATGAGGATCAGCTTCTGTGCTTGTGGCCTAAGAACTGGAGGTTGGGGGGAGAGAACCCCCCAATTTCTAATGTTTAATGTGCTGTGGCTAATCAGCACACAGTTTCCATCTCACAGTGCTGGGGGGCGGGGTGTCCCTAGCTACTAATAGAACCCTCTTACTGTATCTAGAGAGACTTGGGAATCTCCTTAGTAACCAGGCAAGGGAACAAGGGGGATCGGCTTGCCTGGTTGATTGTGTGGTAGAAGCTATTGAGGGTACCAAGAGCCTTTTGACAGAAGTTTGCCTCCGTTTCGTGGGGAGGGTAGGGGGGTGTTGTCCTAAGCAATGTTCCCTCTAAGCTGTGGAGTCTTGTGAGCAAAAATTCTGCTTTGTGAGCTCCTGGCGTTAAAGTTGTGAGCCAGCGATTTGGCTACTGCATCAATTAGTTTGCTCTGGAGCCCGCCTTCCTGAGCTAAGGCAAAAATGTGTGAGCCGGAGGCCAGAAAAATGTGAGCTAACTCACACTAACTCAGCTTAGGGGGAACATTGGTCCTAAGAACAAGGTGATGGCAGCCAGTCGACCTCAAGGCAGCCATGTTTCCTTGCCTGTGGGCCTGGACAGGGGCTCCGTCCTCCCCACAGTCTGTGCTTGAGTAGGGTTGCACCTGGGATGGGAATTTGCTATGGCTTGGTCTTGGGGAATGTGAGGCGGTGACCACGCACAGTGTATTTCTCTGTCCATTGAGAATGTGCAAAGAAATTGCATATCACTGGGATTTTAGGAGGCAGGAACCTCTGTGGCGGCATGGATTTCCAGAAATGTATAATTCCAAAATTGGCTCGTGGTGGCAGTACGGAATGTTCACAAACAGTCGTCATGGCTTGAGAGGAAAGGGATGCCGTTGTTAGCTGCTGAGCGTGAACCTGTACGACTTGCACTTTGGAGGGTGATGGGTGCCTTTCTCTCTCCCCCCCCCCTCACAATTCTGCTCTCCCTACAGACCCCGGCTGGGCATCCATCAACCGTGGCGTGCTGGTTTGCGACGAGTGTTGCAGCGTCCACCGCAGCCTGGGGCGCCACATATCCATCGTCAAGCACCTCCGGCACAGCCCCTGGTCTGCAACACTTCTGCAGGTGGGTGAGGGACCCTTCTAGGGATGGGCACATGGTGAGGGAGGCGCCGGCTGTTGCATACAAAGACCCTCACATCTGCAAGAGTGCTCCTCCCCCTTGTGTTCCTTTGCCACAGCTTCGCTTAATAGTTACGCTTTGTCCAGATGACAGGTTTGTTCCAAACTTCTGCAATCCTAGTCCTATCACACTGCTTATTAGACGCATCATCCTATTGGTTGCATTTTTAACGGGTTTTTTTGGGAGTGAGTGAGTGTGTGTGTATGTGTGTGCCTGGAAGTCATGGTTGATTTCTGGCAACCCCTCGTGGGCCTTGGATGTTTCAGAGAGGTGGCTTGCTGTTGCCTGCCTCTGCGTCCCAAGTCCTGGTATTCCTTGGAGGTCTCCCATCCAAGTACTTGCCAAGGTCGGCCCTGCTTAGCTTCCGAGGTCTGACGAGATCAGGCTTGCCTGGGCTATCCAGGTCAGGATGTCCTATTGGATGCATTGATTTACATTCTGTAATCCGTCTCGGGTCTCACTGAGAAAGGTGGACTGTAAATAACATAAAATCACAGTAGGAGTTGCCAGAGGTCACCATGACTTCCAGGCACAGGCACACGCGCACAACTGCACAGGCACATACACACAAATGCAAAAACACCAAAAATGAAAAAGAACAGGATCCTACTGTAATGAGCTGACATCTTGAAAGCCGAGGGAGAAACTGGGAGAGGAATGGTGGGAGGAATGGTGCGCATGCACAAATGCAGAGTTTGTTTCTTCTCTGTGTATCTACCAAGGAGTGCAGGATGGCATACATATTCCATTTTATAATCACAACAGCCCTATAAGGTAGGCTAAGCTAAGGAGGAGTGATGGCCTTAAGGTCACTCGGGGAGATTCAAGGATGAGGTGGGATTTCATTGTGGGTCGCTGCTGTCCTGGCTGGCGTAGTGGTTAGGAGTGTGGATTCTAACCTGGGAGAACTGGGTTTGATTCTGCACTCCTCCACATGCAGCCAGCTGGGTGACCTTGGATCAGTCACAAGTTCTCTCTGAGCTGTTCTCTCAAGGGCAGCTCTCGAGAGAGCTCTCTCAGCCCTGCCTACCTCACAGGGTGTCTGTTGTGGGGAGATTGTAAGCCGCTCTGAGACCCCTTCGGGTAGTGAAGGGCGGGGTATAAATCCAATCTCTTCTTCTACTCTGAGGATGCCCTCCTGCATTGTGTCAACTGGAGATGAGGAGGGAGGCTCACAGCTTCTCGGAAGAGGGGTCTGGGAGTGGAGAGAAGGCCATGCAGTTGCTTGGAGCAGGGTGGGAGATCGTGCAGGTGACAGAGGCGGAGGGATGAAGTGTTCAGGCCCCGGTCCTCTCGCTGGTGCTGCCGGCCGAAGGTTGTCCTCCTCTTCCTTCATTCTTTCTCTCTGTCCTTTCCCCAGATGGTGCACACTCTTGCCAGCAATGGTGCCAACTCTATATGGGAACACTCGCTCCTTGATCCGGCGCAAGTCCAGAGCGGGAGGCGCAAGGCGAACCCCCAAGACAAAGTTCAGTGAGTATCGGCGGGTAGGAATAGAGTCAGGGCGGAGGGGAAATGGGCATTCTACTTACCTGGAGTTTTCCAGGGGGTCGGGGCACCCCAAGTCAGAGATGAAGCTGAAGCTCTGGTGTTTTGCTCATCAATGGAGCTTGCAGTTTTCTCAATGGGACGAATAGTCCTCCTTACACAAGGATTAGAAATCGTTATGTTGCTGTTTGGTGAGAATTCTCAGTCTTTGTCTTACAAGCAGACACCGCCGATGTCTTATTTTCTTTCTTTTGACACCAGCGTAAGATCTGTTGACAGTGTTTGAAGCAAAGCGAGCTCAGAGGTCCGACTTCTACAGGAGTCCTGCAGTCAATAACCTGTTTTAAAACACTTGGGAAGTTTTAAATTCTGGGAAATGCTTTTCTACACGAGCCGCTGTTAAAACCGTGGGCAGGGCAATTTTTATATCAAGTACCATGTTCACAAAGCAAAGATGGATCCAGGCGTTCGTTCAGTTCTTGGGAGGGGACTGACCTTCTGTGGCCCAAGGAAAAGGTGAATTTGATCCTACCATTTGAAAAAAAGTATTGCAAACGTTTGCAGAAGCTGAAGTTGCAAGTTGTCTTCCCAAAAGCAGAAACCTTCAGCTGTATGGAGCTTTTGTAACTCTGGGAGAGAAATTGAAGGTTTCCAAGCAAAGTTACTTGAGAGTTGGGATGTTCTTTGCATTTTCTCAACCGTTGCTTCAATGAGCGAGTGGGGCTGTGGCTCAGTGGCAGAGCATCTGCTCTGCATGCAGAAGGTCCCAGGTTCAATCCCTGGCATCTCCAGTTCAAAGATCTGGTATTAGGTGATGTGAAAGACCTCTTCCTGAGACCCTGGAGAGCAGCTACCAATCTGAGTAGACAATACTAACCTTGATGGATCAAGGGTCTGATTCAGTATAAGGCAGACTCATCTGCTCAAGTGTATAGGTGACCCTCAAGTTATTTCTGAACAGTGTCATGAACATTGCAAGTGGGGATACTGTAATGAAAAGTGCAAAATTAAACTCTGCAAGCTCTAAGCGCCGTAATTCTTCAAAAGCAATAGGCACTGCAGGAATTTTCAGTGAAATGATGAGATGGTGCTTTAATTAAGGAAATGCCTAGATATTTCTGGGGAAACGGCTAAGACACCAGGCTGGATTTCCGAAAGGGCTCTGGTACATTTTCTTGTTCATAAACAGGATGTGAGAACTTTATTTGAATAGACACCAAGCTGGAGGAAGCAGGTTGCAAAAGTATTCTTCATCCTTCACACAAAGGTGGGACTGTGAATTGTGTTGCCAAAATAGTAATGCTCTTTGTAAAAGAAGGCAGTTTTGGAAGACGCCAGGCAGTTAGCGGGAGGAAACTGGTCAAGGAAAGGGTTTGTCATTTTTCTACAGAAAGATGAGAAATTCAATCACTAATAAGCAGTGTTCCCTCTAAGCTGAGGTAGTGTGAGCTAGCTGATAGTTTTTTAGCCTCAGCTCAGGAAGGGATGGCTCCAGAGATAGTTTTTTAGCCTCTGCTCAGGAAGGGATGGCTCCAGAGCAAACTAATTTATGCAGTCGCCAAACCACTCGCTCACATCTTTAATGTCGGTAGCTCAAAAAGTGTGCGGACTCTAATCTGGGAGACCCGGGTTTGATTCCCCACTCCTCCACTTGCAGCTGCTGGATGACCTTGGGCAAGCCATAGTTCTGACAAGAGCTGTCCTTGAAAGGGCAGTTCTTGCAAGAGCTCTCTCAGCCCCACCTACCTCACAGGGTGTCTGTTGTGGGGAGGGGAAGGGAAAGGAGTTTGTAAGCCGCTCTGAGACTCCGAGTGAAGGGCGGGGTATAAATCCAATCTTTTCTCCTTCTCCTTCTCCTTCTTCTTCCTCACAAGACTCCACAGCTTAGAGCAGTGATGGCGAACCTTTTAGAGACTGAGTGCCCAATCTGTGACCCAAAACCCACTTATTTATCACAAAGTGCCAACACGGCAATTTAACCTGAATAGTGAGGTTTTACTTTAGAAAAAACAACATACATTAACTTAAGATGATCCAAACAAAGTAAGGAAAGCAATCCCAAATGCTTTCATTTACTTAAAATTATTTGGCAGAGAATTTGACACTTTAATGACGGTCTGGGCCTGTCTGGGGCGATGGTATGCGTGCCAACAGAGAGGGCCCTGAGTGCCACCTCTGGCCCCCGTGCCAGAGGTTCGCCACCACTGGCTTAGAGGGATCATTGCTAATAAGGATAGCCTTGAGAAGCTTTCTTTTCTACAGACGGCTGTACCTCTGGGTGAATCCTGGTAAGCATACAGTATGCGATCTATCTGAGGAAAATAAGGAGTTGCCAAATGTTGTAATTACTGGACAGAAACTCCCGTGACCTCTGAAGAACCTGAAAGTGTGAGGAATTGATGAGCTTCCATCAGAGTTCTCCCAAGACTGTTTAGGTGATTGGGTAGCTGAAGATCCTGAGCAGCACTGTTACTGAATTTCATGGACACCCTGCTTCAGTTCAGAAACCCCAGTTTTCGACTTGGGTTCTCCCTACTTGGGATGGCCATGCTAGCAACATTCAACAGAAATAGCATTAAAGATGATGCCTCTTTTATGCGCTAAAAGAGGTATGTAAAGAACAAACAAATTGGCCTGGTTGGAAGGGAGAAGACTCATGCCAACAATGTCTGAAAACAAATAGAAACAAAATCCATTCCCTGTCCTGAGGCAACAATTGCATGTAGAGATAAGAAATTCCAGATTACCGGAATAAGGCCAGTATGGAGAGACCTGTGCAAAAGGATTCCTCTGAAAAGATTTCTCTTAAGAGCCAAGATTGCTGCATTAGCCAATTGTGTAACGGATAATTGCAAATATATTCATTATGATGGGTCAGCCTTTGTTTCTGGAAGGTTCTGTCTGGAGCTTCAGAGAGGTTATTGGGAAGGGTATATCTGCTACACCGTACTATGTTAGGATCAATGGTTGAAAGAAAAGGCATTGGATTGTCTCGAATGCCTGTTCCCATTTTGAAAACATGAAAGGTTTTGGTGTTGACAGTAATTTCTAAACTGTATTAAACCTGCATCCCATACTTCATGAGTTACTCTGAAATTTTACCACACGTTACTTAAATGTTACATATTGAATCTTTTGCATGCATGACTAATACTAAACTAATGAGGACAGGAATTGTTGGTGATCAACCACAACTGAAAACCAGACTGTAGGCAGATAATAGCAGACTACATTTAAGCCAAAAGAATGTGCACACTTACATTAGGTGTATTGCAAGGTATATGGATATGAAATAAATGTTTTTTTAAAAAATAAAATTTATGGGCCACCTTCTGTCTTGTGCAGCTCAAGATGACTTGCAATATAAATAAAACGATCAAAAGCAAAATTAAAACAATATAAATAAAACAATTATAAAAACACATGAAAGGTCTGTTTAAAAACACCAGCCAATAAATAATAACTAAATCAGTCAAATGCATTCCTAAATAAGTCTTCAACTGCCTCCTAAAGATTGACAGTTTTCTCAACTTCCTAGGGAAGTTGTTCCATAATCGTGGGGCGGCCACCAAAAAGGCCTTCTCTCGTATGCCCACCAAACAAGCGTCTTTGGTTGATGGGAGAATCAGGATGGCATCTTAATTCCCAGTCATGAATGTATGGAGAAGACGCTCCTTTAGATATCCCAGTCCCAAGCCATGTGGGGCTTTAGAGGACAAGATGAACACCTTGAACTGGGCTTGGGAGCAGATTTGTAGCCAGTGTAATCGCTGTATTATTGGGGTCATATGCTCCCAATTGCTGGCCTCAACCAGCATTCTAATTACAGCATTCTGCACTTCCTGTAGCTTCTGAACACTCTTCAAGGGTAGCTCCAAGTAGAGTGTGTTGTAGTAGTCCAGTCTAGATGTAACTAAGACATGAATCACTGTGGCTAAATTTGTCTGAACCAGTAACATTGTATTGTTAGTGTTAAATTATAGATGCTTGGGGGGGAAAGAGCTACAAACTTGCCTTTCTGATGGCGCATCTAATTTTATATACTCTTGATTAGTGTTGAAAAAATACAGATTTTGTAGATGGCAAAATTGCTGCTTTAAAAATGAATGTTTTATCCTGGTTCATATACATTTTACATTGTGATGTAAATACATCCATATGCGGTTGTGATATTGATGCCATAGCAGAATAAGTTTGCAAAATTATTTTGGGAAGCGGTGAGGGAATTCTTCCAGAGTGGCTACTCCAACGTTTTAGCCACTTTGAAAAAGGGAAGACATGATCCTTGTTTGACGTCATTCTGTATTGCTTTGAGAACAGTCATAAACACACCGTGGAGGAATTAAAGGTTGAAGAACCCCGTTGGTTATTGGAACAAAAAGAAAAATAAATGTACAGCTCAGTTATCTCCCAGTGGCGTCCTAAAGGTCAAACATGAAAGTTGTGTTAATTTTTTCTATCAACGTTGACATCTCTAATTTAATAAAATATGGCTAGGGTAGAGGTCATGATTAGAGTATGCCAATTCCTTTGCTCAAATCAATGAAAAAATAGGAAACGGGGAAAATCTCCCCAGATTCAGTATTTCCAATTAAGCTTTTGTGTTGGTCTGTCGATGGAATCTTATGGTGAAACCTCTTCTGACATGCTTGGGAGCTATAGACAAGAAGCTCTTTTCTGTCTCAAAGATTTCAACAACCAAGATGTCACTTTTAATTATCACAATTTTAAATCCGCAAGGGGAAAGCGCTTGTACTCTGGAATCCTTCTGGATTAGCATCTTTGCAAAGGGATGAACAGCGTCACTCAGCAATGATTGTCTGTCTCGATTTAATGTGCTGCTTTGTGTTGTTGGCATCTTGCAAAAGAGGCACAGCTTAGAAATGATGGTGGGGCTGGGGTCTCTCTCCCCACCTACTGCTGACACTTCTGCATTTGGTGGAAATGCAGTTACATGTTCTGGATCTTTCCTGTGCCTGACAAATCATGCACCAACCGTAATCCTTTTTTCATATATGAACTTTCATTATTTTTTCCAAAACGACGAAGCAAAGAATATGCATTGTCCAAGATGAAAAAAAGAGAGAGAGTTACGATTAATAAAAGCAAAATTCCAGAAGAAGTAGTTGATTTTTGATAGGGGACTCCTAGACAAAATTAGACCCTTCTGTCATTGTAGAAGAGAGTAAGAGACTTGCTCTTTGTAAGGTTGCATTGTTAGTGTCCTACTGGGATATTTGAATATGCAAATAAGATTTTTCTGTGAGAATTAAATCTGTAAATTGGAACTTGCTGATTACATGAGAAATCTCAGTGTCCCTTCAGTAACCTCATCTAGGAGGGCAAGTGGTTGTTGTTATGATTATGATTATTATTATTATTTTTAAAATTTATCGATTAAATTTATGAATCGCCCCATCCCTGCTATTGTAGGGCTCTGGGTGTTGTTGTTGTTCGGTCACTCAGTCGAGTCCGACTCTTCGCGACCCCATGGACCAGATCCCGCCAGGCCTTCCTGTCTTCCGCCATCCTCTGAAGTTTGCTCAAGTTCATGTTCGTTGCATCTATGACACTGGGGAATTTCACATTACCCAGTTTCACCCGGTTTCAAGCCGGTAATGATCCGTTTTGAAGTGAACTGGTATAGGGCTGCCATTTCACACATGGCTTTCCCCTTCCGGTAAAGAGCTGGATCTGAAGTGGTTTGCCATTTCAGACTGCACCGCTTTTTCCTACTTTTCCCCTGCCATTTTTCACCTGTGCGGGCGATCTCCAGCTTTTTTTTTTTTATGTTCGCTTTAGAGCGCTATAGCAGTATAACAAAACACTCCATGCATTCCAATGGGATTGATATAATGCTATTCCGTTATAGCGCTATAACGCTATAAAGCAAACGTTAAAAAAAAGCCGGAGATCGCCCGCGTGGGCGAAAAACGGCGGGAAAAAGCGCATTGGAACCGGGAGAGGAAACTGAGGAGTACTTGGAAGCAGTTGACAGGTAAAACGCTTCAGCCCCATTTCCTAAACGGGACAGAAGCGATTGTGTATGAAATGACAAATATATTCCAGAAGGGAACCGGTTCTCAAACGGTTCTGTCTGAAAAGACAGACCAGAAACCGTTTGGGAACCATTCCTCTTCCGGAATATATCGCCTGTCTGAAATTCCTCACTGTCTCTTCTTTGACCTTCAGTCTTTCCCAGCATCAGGGTCTTCTCCAGTGAGTGCTCCCTTCTCATTGGGTGGCCAAAGTATTTGAGCTTCAGTTTCATTATCTGGCCTTCCAGGGAACAGTCAGGGTTTTGATCTTCTTGCAGTCCAAGGGACTCTCAAGAGTCTTCTCCAGCACCATAGTTCAAAAGAATCTATTCTTTGGCGCTCTGGGTGGTGTACATAGTATTAAAAACAGTAATCAAATAAAACAATTGAACATATTACGTTACCTTAAAAAGCAAATGGCGAATAATGATCCTTAGCAGGGGTCATTTCCTGCGGGAGCGCACAGGAGCGGAGCTCCGGCAGTAAGGAGCCCAGGGGGTGGGCACATGCAACAAGCACCCCCTTGCTCCCAGCAGCCCTCAGTTGGGCCACGAGGAACAAGAAGCAGCCAGGTAAATTGCAGAGCCCCCCCGCCCTCAGCCAGCCTTCAGGTACAAGCTCTCCCTCCTCTGTGAGGGCAGATCTGCACATCCCGCCCCCCAATAGCTAGCAATCCAAAACAGTCCAGTGGAGCCTGAGCGGTGGTTGTTGCCTTCTGACACACTTCCGGTGATGTCAGGGGGTGTGGCATATGCAAATGAGTTATGCCAATGAGTTGTGCTAATGAGCTCCTGCACCTCTTTTTCTACGACCTGACCCCTGATCCTTAGAGTTAATTCTTCCCGTATTACAGACCGCCGGCCGTTTGTTTTAGGGGGGGGGGGGGGGGGAAGAGGTCAAAACAAGCATGGGAAACTGAGGAGAGTGCCAGCTGAGGTAAAAACCGTCGCTGTCCTCCACTAAAAAGCCTGGTGTTCCACCTCTGCCTTGCAGGCTCTGTGGAACTGCATAAGGTCCTGCAGGGTCCTGATGGCATGTGGCAGAGAGTTCCACCAGGTTGGGGCCAGGATCGAAAAGGCCCTGGCCCTGGTCGAGGCCAGCCGGATATCTTCAGGGCCGGGGGAACACCAGCGTGTTTGTTGTCCAAGGAGCACAATGCCCTTCCAGGGGCTTAATGGAGGAGATGTTCCCCTAGATACGCTGGTCCCTGACCGTTGGGAAAGTAGGATCCCACAGCTAAACTGGCAAGGGTTGTTCGGAATGAGTTTGTCACCGGAAGTGTGTCCTAAGGCCGCACACCCTGCCCCCAACGGTCCCGGCCGCCGCCGCTGGCCTTGCAGCTCCACTGCCGAGCCCCATGAGGGGCCCGGCGGTGGACCTGCGATGCCAGCGGGAGTGTGAGGAAGCCCCGCGAAGGCCCTCCCTGGCCCCAGGCAGGCAGGGGTGGGGAGAGGCAGGGAGGAAGCAACTTACCCTCCCTCTTCTCCTGCCTCCTCCTGGCTGAATGAGGGCGGGAAGCGGGATGGCCGGAAGCAGGGGGCGGGGCTTCGTCATGTGCCCCGCCCCCCGTACGTCACCCGGGGGAACTGCGATCCCCCGCGATCCCCCCCGAAATGACCTCTGGTTTGAGGCCTCCCCATTAACACCTTTTGAAAGAGGCATGAGTCACTTTCAGTAGCTTGTTATGGAGGAGAGGGGTGTGACTCAAGCAGTGGAGCCTCTGCTTGGGCTGCAGGAGGGCCCCCGGGTTCAGTCCCTGACGTCTCCAGTTGAAAGGATCAGGTGATGTGACAGACTTCCACCTGAGATCCTGGGAAGCGGCTGCCAGTCTGAGTAGACAAGACCGACTTTGATAGACCAGTGGCCTGACTCCGTAGAAGGCAGCTTCACGTGTCGTGCGTTTTGGGTTAATTTTGTTGTCTTTCGCTTGCCCCCAAATGAAATCATTTATAATTTCGTGTGCATGCGTATATTGTTTTACTGAACATTGAAGCTATGGATTTGACGCTCTCGAGGCCAGGGTGGCTGTTCCACGGGAGAATCTTGCAATGGGAGAAACAGCCCCGGGAAGCCGATGGCTCAGGGGTGATAGAGTAAACTTCCTCCAGTAAATGAGAGATGCCAGTGCCTCTGTGCATGTGCAGAGTGGCCAGCCCATACCATTCTGGGATTTTGAGGAAGGGAGATGTTGCCTGGAAGGAAAGGTTGCTTCTAACATACTGTTGGAAGGGGTGGGGGGTCCATCCTGCCCTTCTTTGACCGTACTTTATCACATCGCAGCCCTACCAAGTCAGAATTCATCCGTGCCAAATACCAGATGCTGGCCTTTGTCCACAAACTTCCGTGCCGGGACGACGATGGAGTGACTGCCAAGGACCTCAGCAAGGTAGGGCCGTGTTGTGCCTGCGTGTGCCTGGCGAGGAATGTGAAGTGATGCCTTCAGGTATGGGGAGGAGTGCACCTGTTGCATCCCAGGACTCCAGCCCGAGGCTTCAGAATAAGAAATAGGTCCAAGGCCCCGACATGGATACCTTTGATGATGGCATCCCATTTTCAAGTGCCACCAAGTGCCAGAGACTGTTTTCAGATTCTTCCGTATCAGGGTGTAGAGGTTGTGTTCCCGGGGACCTTCCCAGCCTTACCATGGGGCGGCCTCAAGCAATGCTCCCTCTAAGCTGTGGAGTCTTGTGAGCAAAAATTCTACTTTGTGAGCTACCGGCAGTAAAGTTGTGAGTGAGCAATTTGGCTACTGCATCAATTACTTTGCTCTGGAGCCCTCCCTTCCTGGGCAAAGACAAAAACGTGTGAGCCGGAGGCTAAAAAACCGTGAGCTAGCTCACACTAACTCGGCTTAGGGGGAACACTGGCCTCAAGTAGGACACCTCCTTGTGGGGTCTTAACCCCCCCCCCCTGCTCCCGCTGTTTTGACAGAGCCATGAGGAGATCCCGGACGGTTCGGAATGAGGGGCCGCCTGGCCGCCAGCTAGCCAGAAATATTTTAATCTCTAGGGTGTTTAATGTTGTTAACGCTTCGAGGAAGCCAACCAAATACCTGTGTGTTGTGTGCAGGGCTTTTTTTTTTGTAGCAGGAACTCCTTTGCACACGCCTAATGCACACGCCTAATGTAGCCAATCCTCCAAGAGCTCACAGAGCTCTTCTTACAGGGCTCTTGGAGGATTGGCTACATTAGGGGATGTGTCACCCAGGGCTCTTTTTGTAGCAGGAACTCCTTTACATATTAGGCGACACCCCCCCTAATGTAGCCAATCCTCCAAGAGCTTACAGAGCTCTTCTTACAGGGGCTACTGTAAGCTCTTGGAGGATTGGCTACATTAGGGGTATGTCGCTTAATATGCAAATGAGTTCCTGCTACAAAAAGGGCCCTGGAGTGCTTTTGTTCATCCTCCACATACCTACCGGGCATTTGTTGGTAGATTCTGGTATTGTGAGGGAGGGCGAAGAACTGCTCCCCCGCCCCACACGTTGCCTTGGGCCAGTCATTGCCTCAGCCGGGGTGGTGGTGAAAGTCTCTTCAACCAGCAAGGATCAAAGCATGAGACGAGAGGCTCCACATTTAGTCGGTTTCGCCCCCAGTTGTCCATATCAGCCACATCGGCTTATTTCGACCTCTGTTCTCAGCTTGTCCTCCTTCACAGGGTAGTTGTGCGACTAAAATGGAGGAGCGGAGAACCAGTGGTCCCTCTAAGCTGCGGAGTCTTGTGAGCAAAAATCCTACTGTGTGAGCTACTGGTATTAAAGTTGTGAGCGGGCGGTTTGGCTGCTGCATAAATTAGTCTGCTCCGGAGCCATCCTTCCTGAGCGGAGACAAAACTGTGTGAGCCGGAGGCTAGAAAACGGTGAGCCGGCTCACACTAACTCAGCTTAGAGGGAACACTGCAGAGAACCCTGTATCGCCCCATGGGGAATGAGCAGAATTAATATGGGACAGATCATCTATATATCTAATAGCGAAAGGCGCCCCCTGCGTGCGAATACCTAAATCCGCGCATTGGGGGCACCTGGGGGGGAGGGAGATTTTTGTGCACACTTGGGGCAGTCCCCAGGTGTGCACAAAAAATCTAAAAACCTGAAAAAAATACCGGGGGGATACTTAAATTCCCCCAAAAGTGATAGAGCGTCCCCTGCGCATGCGCAGGGAACGCTCTGCGAACTCCCTCGCCGCCGCCGCTTGGGGGGGGAAGAGAGCAGCAAGGCCCGAGCAGCAAGCCGCTCAGGCCTCACTTCAAAGCCGGGGGAGGGAGGGAAAGGGGGGAGTCACCCCCCGGCGAGTATCGCTGGTCCTGCCCCTTGTTTCTGATTCTAATGTAAAAGAGCAAGTGTGTAGCCTCTGTGACATTTTCTGCACTGGTTTTTGAGTAGAGCCCTCAGTCGACTGTTGCCTGGCCCGGCCTGGGTGGGTGGAGTGGGGGATCCAGCTGCTCTGTTTTTTCCTGTTCCCTGACCTCTGCCTCTGTCTGTCTTCCCACAGCAGTTGCATTCAAGTGTCCGGACAGGAAACCTGGAGACCTGTTTGCGCCTGCTTTCTCTGGGGGCCCAAGCCAACTTCTTCCACCCGGTGAGACCCTGTGTGGCCAAGGCTGAGTTTGAACCAGGGCTCAGCCACAGTTTATACTGCCCACCCTTCCTCCCAGAAACTATTCTGTTAAATGTGGAAAAGAAATATCTTTTTTTAATAATATATTTTATTAATTTTAAACTTTTAAAAACACAATAAACAATAAATCTTGAAACAACACTACAATAAAATACAGAAACGTTAATTTTCAAGTTTTAACGTATCTGAAACAAAGATTGAGTGAAGTCTGTTATATACTTAAGATGTCTTCTGGTATTTCTTTTTGCAATTGTAAAAAGTCCAATATTGGCGACCAAACAAAATACCGCATTTTATAGTTTTCATAAGATACATTATTTATAGACCAAGTAATTTTGTCCATTAAATATAGTTGCCATATATTTTTAAACTAATTACCGTATTTTCCGGTGTATAAGATGACTTTTTAACCCAGGGAAATCTTCTCAGAAATGGGGGGTCGCCTTATACGCCGGCAAATACGGTACTCATAGAGAAATTATTTTCTGCTTTCCAATGTTGCGCTATAATAAGTTTTGCAGCATGTAATAATAATGCTATTCTAATATTATTTAACTAAGATATCTGTAAATTTCTTCTAACATTTAGTAAAATTACTTCAGGTTCAAAAGGTAAAGTTACTTGCGTAATATGTTCAGTATTTGTAGAAAAGAAATATCATTTGCCTTGAAAGTGCAGAAGCTTTACGGCAGTATCCCCAGCCCTCCATGTTTCCTGGTTAAAGGAAAAATGCCGTTCAAACAAATCACAAAGATGATATGACTCCAGTGGTAACAAGAGAAAGAAGGTTTTACTTGCAAAGATGGAGCACTTCTTACATGACATACTCATGTAGATACCTTTAACTTCCTGTGAACAGATTAACTTCAAAAAGGTTAACTTGCTACAGCTCCAAGCCTAGATAAGAGAGGGAAGTAGGGAGGTCCCGTATAAGATAGAACACAGAAGGCCAGCAACAGCCAAAGAGGCTCAGCATCTAACCCAGGGGTGTGAAACTCATTTGTTATGAGGGCCGGATCTGACATAAATGAGACTTTGTTGGGCCGGGCCACATGCGTCATAAAATGTAATGCCAGGTAGCGGAGATATAAACTTTGTAAAGGAGACAAACACAAAGGGTTTTTTTTTAACTTAAAATAAAAACATGCTTAAAATATCAGCACTCTTGCAATATTTTGTTTAACAGTGTCTGATAACTGACACCTCTTGCTCTGAATTATTGCATGAAAATGTCTGTGTTGTTGCAATCCTGAGTATGCAGTTCAGGTGTGTATCTATAAGCTGCAAACCTATGATGACACAGCAGCAGCAGAACTGGAAGAAGAAGCAGAAGACAGCCAGTTCCACTGTGGGCCTGGGGGGCTGAAAGGCGCCCCCCGGGGGGGGGGGGGTGATGTGGCCCCCGGGCCGCATGTTTGACACCTCTGATCTAACCATTGAGAGGGTGGGGCCAACTGCCAAGTGTACCGAGTGAAAGAGAACTCTCTTAACCCTTTCCCTCCACTCAGAGTGCCAGTATCCAACAAAAACTGGGACCCGATGCGGGTAACAACGATCAACCAATACATTATAAAAACCATTTTTTATACCCTAAAACAGCTAGCAATAACTGATCTTAAAATGTTTTAATGTTTGGGCTCAGGCTTGGTGAGAGTTCTTCCCAAGTACATCCGTGTGGTGTGAGAACAAATGTCCTGCTTTTGTAGGAGAAAGGGACCACTCCCCTGCATGTGGCGGCCAAAGCCGGGCAGATCCTTCAGGCCGAGTTGCTCGTGGTCTATGGAGCCGACCCCGGGGCCCCCGATGTGAATGGCCGCACCCCCATCGACTATGCCAGGTGAGGATCGGCGCTGCTTGCTTCTGGAATGCCTACTTCTGGAATGCCATGTGCTCTATCCGAATTGGGGAATAAACATGTGCTTTTGAACGTTTCAAAACTGGTTGCTTTGTGTCAGCGACGGTAGCTGGCTTTCTTTGTATGCCGGGGACTTCTTGAATTCCGTCTTGGTGTCATGGTGATATAGAGATCTCTTTGAGCTTCTTTAGGATAAAGTGTTTCATTAAATAAAGATCAGGCTGGTGCGAAAACTCAAGAGATTGATGGAGATGGGAGGGGGCTTTTGTCACCATCTTTTGGTGAGACAGAACTCCATTCAGTATGGGATTGGGGCTTGCTTACAGTAATGGGAAGACAAGATGTTTTCTTCCTGCTTGACCTTTGACCTCCCTCCCTGCAGGCAGGCGTCCCAGCACGAGCTGGCGGAGAGGCTGGTGGAATGTCAGTATGAGCTTACGGACAGGCTGGCCTTCTACCTCTGTGGGCGCAAGCCAGGTAAGGGAGCCCTGTGTCAGACCGGGGGAGACCGGGTTTCGGTACCAAGGGCTGAGCCCCGCCACGATCACCCCGAACCAGCCCCATCCCGTTGGTTCATTTCGCTCACCGTGTTTTCCAGCCGTCGCCAAGTAAACAGCCATTTCAGTTTTGCTTTCGTGTCGCTGTGAGAAACAAACATGAGAATCTTTGGATCCGGCACCGTTTTCTCTCTTTCCTTTGCACCAGTTTTTTCCCCTGCAGAAAACGAGAGTTTGCATTTCAGTGTTGTCGTTGCAGTAAAAATAGTGGGAGAGACAGAAACAGGATTGATTGATGGCAACGAAACCGAGGGAGACTGCAACGGAGGAGGAGGGCGAGAGAAAATGAAAACTGCCAAGTCAATCCTGCTCTCAAGCCAGGGGGAAGGGCGTGTTGAGCTGCCGTGTCAGGGGGGGTCAGGGCCTAAAGGAGTTTCCCTGACCTGGATTGCCCAGGAGAGCCCGATCCTCAGCAGGGTCAGCCCTAGTCAGTATTTGGATGGGAGATCGGCAAGGAAGTCCAGGGTCGCTATGCAGATGCAGGCAACCCACCTCTGAACATCTCTGGCCTTGAAAACCCTATGGGGCTACCATGAGTCAGCTGCAACTTGACTGCAGGGGGAAATGGGTTAAAGGGCTTACCTGGTACTGAATCGGACAATTAGTCTCTCTGGCTCCGTTTGGTCTGCTGAGACCAGCGGTGAGGTCTTTCCTCCATGAAATTGCTGAGCGGTCGGGTTAGAACGGATAAAAGGAAGTACTTCTTCACCCAAAGAGTGATTAACACTTGGAATTCACTGCCACAGGAAGTGGTGGTGGCTACAAGCATGGACAGCTTCAAAAGGGAATTAGATAAGCATATGGAGCAGAGGTCCATCAGTGGCTACTAGCCACAAGGTATAGATAGGGACTCTGGGGCAAGTGATTCTCTGTCTTCTTGGTGCTTGGGGGGGTCAACAGTGGGATGGCTTCTAATGTCCTGGCCCCACTGGTGGACCTCCTGATGGCACCTGGTATTTCTGGCCACGATGTGATACAGAGTGTTGGACTGGATGGGCCTTTGGCCTGATCCAACATTGGCATCTCTTATGTTCTTATGTTCTTATGTTCCTGCTGCCTGACATCCTTTCAGTGGAGCTGTCGGGTCAAGTCGAGTTGGGAGAGTTCTAGTGATGGGCAGCAAGGTGGCAGATTGTTGAGCAACCCAAATTTGATATGATGGGGGACCCCTGCCAAGGCCTCCCATGACAGCGGGGCATTCCACGAGGGCAGCCTGAATTGGCTGAAAAGCCCCCGGGAAGCGGTCCGAATCTGTTTCAAGGTGCTGGTACCAGTGTTCCCTCTAAGCTGAGTTAGCGTGAGCTAGCTCACAGATTTTTAGCCTCCAGCTCACACGTTTTTGTCTTAGCTCAGGAAGGAGGGCTCCAGAGCAAACTAATTTATGCAGCAGCCAAATTGCTGGCTCACTACTTTAATGCCAGTAGCTCAAAAAGTAGAATTTTTGCTCCCAAGACTCCACAGCTTAGAGGAAGCATTGGCTGGTACTTACCTTTAAAGCCCTATATGGCCAGGGTCTGACGTACCTGCGGGACCGCCTTTCCCCATACATACCCCAGAGAGCACTACGGTCTGGGGTCCAACATCGTCTGGTGATTCCAGGCCCCAGAGAGGCCAGACTTGTGGCAGCCAGGGCCTTTTCAGTGGCGGCTCCTACCTGGTGGAATGAGCTCCCGGAGGAGATCAGGGCCCTGCGGGACCTCTCACAGTTCTGCAGGGCCTGCAAGACGGAGCTCTTCCGCCAGGCTTTTAATTAGGAGTCGCCACTACGACCACCAACAACCATCCTGTGGTAACAACAGGGCAACGGGATGGCCCAATATAAGACCACTACAGTACCATGATGGATCGGTGCTGCCGAAATGGGCTCTGGGTTAACACCTACAAGCCATCTTGACTAAAATAAGAATATCATGGAGCCCTTTGTGAATGTTAATTGGTTGTTTTTATTCTGATTTTAATGTTTTAAATTTGGCACTTGGTGCCCTTGTTGTGAGCCGCCCTGAGCCCGCATGCGGGGAGGGCGGGATAAACATGTGATAAATGCAGTGAAATGAAGGGGGTCTGGGATTCATTGGCGTAAGTGGGCCATCGTGAGTGAGGTGCACCTCACCTGTAGTTGCTCTTTTGGAGCTGACTCCCTGGCGTTCAACTTCTCTCTTCTTGTTCTCCAGCAAGGCGATTGGAATGACACAGAGTATTTTAAGGGCTAGTGCCTCGTAGGTGAATTTCTTCCTTTTGTGGGGGGGTGGGGTGTATTTTTGCATTTTGTGTGTGCGCGTGCGCGCACCTGTCAGAACCCACAGCCAACAACGGAGTACACGCTTTCAAGAAAGGTTATACTTTTATTGAAGAGCTGTAGATGCATTACATCTGTCGTGGCTCAAGTGGTTAAGACGCTGAACTGCAGGCTGTGGAAGGTCAGTAGTTCAGCAGTTCGAGACCCGGGTGCCGCAAGACGGAGTGAGCTCCCGTCTATTTCCAGCTCCTGCTAACCTAGCAGTTCGAAATCAAGAAATTGCAAGTAGATAAATAGGTACCACTTCGGTGGGAAGGTAACAGCGTTCCGTGCGCCTCGGTGTTTAGTCATGCCGGCCACATGACCACGGAAACGTCTTTGGACAGCGCTGGCTCTTTGGCTTTGAAACGGAGATGAGCACCGCAACCCTAGAGACGGATTCGACTGGCTTTCGAGCAAGGGAACCGTTACCTTTGCCTTTAGATGCATTAACATAGTCACTGTTAAGAATGGCAGTTGTCCCTTGGACATAATAAGATATAGGGCATTCGTATGCATACACACCCCTCTGCGCTGGCCAATTAGGCACCCTCCCGCGCGCGGGCTAAAGCCAGCAAACTGTTTCTAGGCGAAGCTGGGAACGGTCCGGCTCCCACGGCTGCCTGGAAAGGCAGACAACACACACTCCCACCTGCACATCGTTCTAGATAAGCATTCCGGTGCAAAGCATAGACAGAAATGCGAAAGCTATTTACACAGACTCTGAGCATCCCAACCCCCATGGCAGTATAGCTTACAGCACCTGTGCCTGAGAGTCATGGTGACCTCTGGGCACGGAGGATGTTCAGAGAGGTGGCTTGATAGCCTGCCTTTGCCTCCCGGCCCTGGTATTCCTTGGAGGTCTCCCATCCAAATACTTGCCAGGGTCGGCCCTGCTTAGCTTCCGAGATCTGACGAGATCGGGCTTGCCTGGGCTACCCAGGTCAGGGACCTCGTAGGTGAATTTCACTTGGTTTTTGTCGGCTCAGAGAGTCGATGAGAGTTCCGTGGCTGTTCACAGTCATTCATCTTGACCAAAACAAAAATCACCTTGCATTTATGTTGAATGTATGTTATTTCCTTCATTGATAACCTGCTTTTCTTGCTGAGACTAGAGGCGGATTATAAACATTTTAAAAAAGCACTTTGATCAGACAGCAAGGGCCTCCAAGGAATAATGCAGTAGGGCTGGGATTATGGAACTGGAAAAGCCGTGGAAACGCTTTTTTAACTGCTGCAGTGCACAGAGAGATTGTTTTGAGGGAGCAGTCCTGGGTAACGAAGGGTTACCGTTGGAGAGGAACGGGACATCAGTGGGGGGGGCGGAGTCTCAGAGCTGGATCTCTGAGTGGCTCTCGTCTTTCCATTGCAGATCACAAGAATGGGCATTACATCATTCCGCAGATGGCAGACAGGTGAGACCCCGCCTCCCCTCCCCAAGTCTGATCTCTTGCAATTCACTGGAAATAAAGGCTGCCACCTTGTGGACATCTTGGGTGTCACACATATTCCTGTTCAGATTCTTTTAAGAATTACTAAGGGGTGCACACAAGTATTGGTATTTTCTTTTTATTGGGCAGGGGCACTCTGGGGAATAGCTGTATCAGAACTTAAAAATAAGTAATTATTTCTATCCTGCCTTCTCCCAAGCAAAATGGAAAAGCAAATACTCGGTTGGTTTTCTCTTCCACTGGGTAATAGCTTTGAATTGTGAACTGGTCCATGGTCTGTATGATAGCTGAAAAGGCACCAGTGATGTCGTTTCGGAAGCGTCCTGATTGGTTTCCATTTAAATTGAGAAATAAAGATCTGCACCAGTCATGGGAGACGACGATTATTATTATATATTTAATTGTGGGATTTATTTAATAAAAACTAGGGCCAAGGCCAATGGTGCAAAATCAGGTAAAAATATGTACTTTGTTACTCATTTAAAATTCCAGAAATTCCTTATGCGTTTCGCCAACAGGCTTCGTCAGGGGAACGATCTTGCTGGAGTTCTTCAAAAAGGTTAAAACCAGATCTTTTACTGAGAGCCAGTTTGATGTAGTGGTTAAGTGCGCGGGCTCTAATCTGGGAGAACCGGGTTTGATTCCCCACTCCTCCACTCGCACCTGGCTGGATGGCCTTGGGCAAGCCGTAGTTCTGATAAGAGCTGTTCTTGAAAAAGAGCCGTTTCTGTTAGAGCTCTCTCAGCCCCACCTACCTCACAGGGTGTCTGTTGTGGGGAGGGGAAGGGAAAGGAGTTTGTAAGCCGCTCTGAGACTCCCTTGGGTAGTGAAGGGCAGGGCATCAATCCAATCTCCTCTCCTCTTCTTCTTTTTGAAGAACTGCCACGAGACAAACAGATGCCCCGATGAAGCCTGTTGGCGAAACGCATAGGGAATTTTGGGAATTTAGTTTTTGTCTTCCATTTAAATCGGTCTCTTGGGCTCAAGGGCCCTTCCTCAGACACCGGATCCTTTCCCTCTAGCTCAGCATCGTGGGCCTTCGGCAGGGATAGTTCTTTCCCAACCCCTCATACCGAGAATCTTCACCAGGAGGGGGTGGGGGTGCCACCTGAGACCTGCCTGCCTGCCCAGCTACTGTTCAGCCAGTGAGCTGTGAGCCGGTGAAGCATCAGAGAATCGTAGAACCACAGAATTGGAAGGGGCCATCTAGCACAACCCCCTGCTCAATGCAGGATCCTCCTAGAGCAGTGGTGGCGAACCTATGGCACGGGGGCCAGAGGTGGCACTCAGAGCCCTCTCTGTGGGCACACGTGCCATTGCCCCAGCCAGGCCCAGACCATCATTAAAGTGTCGAACTCTCTGCCAAATAATTTTAAGTAAATGAAAGCATTTGGGATTGCTTTCCTTACTTTGTTTGGATTATCTTAAGTTAATGTAGGAGTTGTTTTTTCTAAAGTAGAACCTCAGTATTCAGGTTAAATTGCCGCGTTGGCACTTTGCGATAAATAAGTGGGTTTTGGGTCGCAGCTTGGGCACTCGGTCTCCAAAAGGTTCGCCATCACTGCCCTAGAGCATCCCTGACAAGTGTTTGTCCGGCAGCTGCTTGAAGACTGCCAGGGACGCTGGCTTTTCCAGAGTCTGCTGAGATTGGGGTTGACGGGCAGCAGCTCCTCAGGGAAAGGGCATTCTGAGCCCCTGAGATCTTCTTCAGAGGAAGGCGGCTGGGGACCACTTTCCAAGCCTGTATTGCGTCTTTGAGGCCTCGGCCTCCCCTCTCTCTGCCTGCCCCTGGGCAGCCACGTGCCTTGGGTTTATCTCCCTTGTCACCCCGGAGTCGGCTTCCAGAGCGGCTCACGGGAATCACAGCCACACATGACCCATTCAAATTAAATCCAGCCTCTTCCTGAACGCTCCGCCGAATGAGAGTCGGGCCTGACGGAGACCGGGGCCTTCTCTCCTCCGGCTTTCTCTCTGGCTCTGTCGATGGCCCGTTGAAGGCGCAAAGGGCATGACGGGAGGGAGGAATACCCAGAGGCTTCTTGCCCTCCTTCTGATGGCCTCTCAGGTTAGGGAAGGCCGGGGGCTTCCAGGCAAGAGTGGTGGGCGTTGGCAGGTGAAGCTCCCGCCTGGGCCTCTTGCCAAGCAAGGGTGAGCCAAAAGAATGCCACGCAGGGTGGGGGGGGCGTTGGCTTCCTTCTTCAGCAGCCCCTGAACCTCAGGGGAGGGAGTGCGCGTTTAGGGGTGCGGCGCGGCCCTTGCTGCTGGTGCGCGGATCGGTGTCTTTAACACCCTCCCTTATCCTCTTCTTCTCCCGCTGCCTTCTTGGAGTTCAGAGTGCGTCCAAAGTGCATGTCCCAAAGGTACTGACTGTCTGCCTTGTCATGAATGGACCCCCCCGTTGGTGCATGCAGAAGATCATCTGCATTTTTGTGCGTCGGGGTTGGTTCAGGGTGGGTGGAGCAGAGGAATGGCTGGCGGACTGAGGAATGCCTCGCTCGCCAGGGGCTACTTCGCGCTCCTCCTGAACTTCTGTACCCCCAACGGGAAAGTCCCCAAGTCCCTGCTTTTTTGTCAGTGCTTAGAGTAGACGGTTACATCTTGGCACCAAAGCGTCGAAGCTCCCTGGATGTGTTTTTGTGTGCATAATTCCCCTCCTTCCTTGCTAGCACTGGTGCCCTGGTCGGGGTGGGATTCCCTTTTTACTTTCCTGCTCTGATCTGCCTTTTCCGCGGCTTCCGAGTCTGCCGCCCAGTAGGGTTCCCTGCCGATCTGTGGATACCTTGCAGGGTGACGAGAAGCCCTCTTTGCAGATGACTTATTATGGGATAGGGATGAAGTGACCTTTCTCTCTGTCTCTCCGTCTTCCCATTTTGCTAGCCTGGACCTCTCTGAATTGGCAAAGGCAGCCAAGAAGAAGTTGCAAGCGGTAAGATGGAGAGGGGCGGGGGGGGGGGAGACGGGCCTTCGGGTTTGGTTGTATGGATGGGGGAGGTCCTTGGCCTGGTGTGCTCCTCTTCTGCTGGGGTAGGGGATCTGTCATCTTCAGCAGCCCCCAGGAACTTAAGAGCCCTCCCCAGCTGCAAACTGTTTTTGTTTGTGGGGCAAGAATTGTGTGCAGGAGAAGGGGGGTGATCGAAGCACCCTCAACTGAAGCGATCCAGTCCCGGGAAAGCTTCCTCGCATAAGGAGGGAGAAATTGCGCAGCGTCTGTTGCATTTGACCTCTTAACCCTCGTCACATGCTTTATGCATGTCTGTTGCTTTATGCAGGTTAAATGGATTTGCTGGGTTTTACATCACTGCAGCTTTTTAAAATTCTGTTCCAGCTAGCCAGTGAGGTAGGCTGAGAGCCAGTTTGGTGTAGTGGTTAAGTGCGCGGACTCTAATCTCGGAGAACTGGGTTTGATTCCCCACTCCTCCACTTGCACCTGCTGGATATGACCTTGGGCAAGCCATAGTTCTGGCACAGCTGTTCTGTCAGAGCTCTCTCAGCCCCACCGACCTCACAGGGTGTCTGTTGTGGGGAGGGGGAGGGAAAGGAGTTTGTGAGCCGCTCTGAGACTCCTTTGGGTAGTGAAGGGCGGGGTATAAATCCAATCTCCTCCACTCTCTTTCTCCTCCTCCTTCTCCTCCTTCTCCTTCTCCTTTCTCCTTCTCCTCCTTCTTCTCTTTCTCTTTCTCTTTCTCCTTCTCTTTCTCCTTCTCTTTCTCCTCCTCCTCCTCCTTCTCCTCCTCCTCTTCTTCTTCTCCTCCTTCTCCTTCTTCTTCTTGGCAGAGGACTTTTCAGGCCATTTACTCTCCCCCGCACACCCACAGGCGTACTGAACAAAGTTAGAGTCCAGTGGCACCTTTAAGACCAACAAAGTTTTATTCAAGGTTTGAGCTTTCGTGTGCACACAACGAAAATTACCTGTCCGTACATAAAGGCAGATGGAGAACAGCAATTTATTTATTTACTTATTTGGTTTGCTTCGTGTCTGCCCTCCCCGCAAGCGGGCTCAAATTAGCATGCAACATAGCGGGAGATGTTTTAACAGATGCAAAGGCCAAACTGGAATAACAAGCTAAATCTATATGGTCACCAATTACAGGGGGGAAACACAGTGGAGTGAATAAATATGTCAAAATAGGAGACTGATGTGTAAACGTATCCTTCTTAATTGTGGAATGCTAAGAGTAAGTAACTGAGACCCTCACAAGCTCATACTTTGAATAAAACTGTGTTGGTCTTAAAGCTGCCACTGGACTCAACACGGCTACCCCACCTGAATCTATCTTCATGGAAGGCTTACTGAATATCATCGATCCTTCTGGTTTCTGAGATTCCAGCAGGCGCTGCCACACCCCCTTTCAAGAATACCCCCGAGGACAAGGAACGTCTTGTCCCTTGAATGAAACCCGAGTTCTCGGGGTCCCCAGCGTTGTGCTTCGTGCCCATTTCAGCCTTTTTACAAACCGAGACGGCAGGATGAGCTCGTTCTCCTGGGTGCGAAGTCTCCAGTGCCCAAGTGATGTTTCTGGGCCCTGCGATCTGTCCGTCATGTTCTTCCGCTGAGGCACCCGGTCCTGTACCCCCCGCCCAGTAGACTGCCGTGTGGAATCACGTTCCTTTTCCTCTTGCTTCTCTCCCGATAGCTTAGCAACCGTCTCTTTGAAGAGCTGGCCATGGACGTCTACGATGAGGTGGACCGTCGGGAAAACGATGCAGGTGACCGAGCGTGTGTGTGTGTTGGGGGATGAGATGGGGGGGGGGCTGTGAAAGAGTCTTTTGGGCCCTGGCAGCCGGTGGGCTGTATTCTCTGCTGGACTGCGACCTCTGGGCTCTCTCGGCTTTATGACAAGCCAGGCCTTTGCTGCCGGAGTATGCGCTCCCCCTCCCCCCAATCTGCCAATCTCTCTTTCTGTAGCTACTCGGGTGGTATTGGAGCAGCCAGAGGATAAGGCCTGTGCAGAATCTCACATAAGAGGGGAGAAATAAACCCCCAGATGGCTCCGGACTGACCCCTCCGATTCCCCAGTCCCATTGTTAAAATTGCTAGAGCAAATCCAGTTCTGCACTATGACTCACCACCTTGATATTAGGGAAATCGGGCAGGCACCAACTTTTCAATCGTTCAGCCAGGCATGTCGCTACGGTGGGGCTTTTGGGGGCTTTGCCCTCTTTCTTAAAGTCACAGCCCCACAAGAATTTCTCCTGTAAATGCTGTTTTTCTGTTTTTAAAACATTTTTAAAAGCAGAGTGGTGCTGTAGTTGACTAATTCCCACACTGAGCAAGGGGGTTGGAGTAAGTGACCTCTAGGATCCCGTCTAACTCTGTGTCAAGAAGCCAGTCTCCTTTAAGGAAGTTTTTCTGCCGAAGTGTTAACTTTCTTGACTATAGAAGTCATCACCCCCACCTGCCAGTTTGTTCTTGGAATTGTGGCTTAGGCTGGCAGAAGTGATTAACTTGCAGCAGCTGAGAACTGTCATTTAAAGTGATCCACAGGTTGCAATTTAGAGATCTATCCTGGTGACAGCTTTCTACTGGCTAAATGGCTTTTCTTTCTGCACTGAGGACTTCAGCCCCACCAGAAGAAAAATTGCCCCACAAGCCACAAAATCCTGTCTATGGGTCTGCACTCGGCCCATGGCTGATTCAGGCAGTACACTCCAGAGCCTTTCTGCAGTCTTGCAGAGTACCATGGGTGCATGTGCCCTTGTTGGGGAGACCGGCCCTCCTTAGCAGACAGCTGCCCCCAGAGAGTCCCCCCCCTCCTGGATTTCTGTGCTGACGGGCTGGCCTCCTGGTCCATTCCTTCCCGGCAGACATGCACACTCACCTCACCCTCGAACTCCTGCTTAGCTCTTGTGGCTGGCTTCTGAGATCTCTCCGGGCATGATCTTCCAAGCCTGTGATCCAAGTCAGGAGGACTAGAAACTTGCTGAGGATGTTGCCTTCTGGGCCCAGCACTGAATTCTGCCATTGCTGCTTGGGTTCTGGGTTCTAATTCCCCAAGCTGTGCCTAAAAAGACAAAGATGTCATGTGGGCTTCTTTTTAAGAGGGGGCTATGTTTGGAGGGGGTGGAGGAGCCCCCAGAAACTCTTCATTTCGGGGTGGGGAGGAGAAGCTGAACTTATCTTGTGCTCGAGTTAGGCTGGTTGGGAAGGAAGAATCACGGGCTGACGTTCTTAAACTTTTCCGGCTCTGATTCAAGCTGATCTTGAGTGAGTGTTTGTATTTCGAGGGTCGGTGCGGCCCTCCCCCCCTCCTTTCTCAGTCCCAGTACGATGTAGCTGCCAGCCCCCAGTGGGCCCTGCCGGGGTAGGGGGAGAGACATAACCTCGGAAGCTTGGTGCCTTGCGGTATTTTTCCTCTCCTGCCAGCAGGGTAACCACTAGGGAGGAACTGCCTTTCTTTCCCATCCTCCCAGGGGCGGATGAAGGCTCACCGGTGCCCTCAGCACTGACCAATCTCGGTGCCCCCCTCCTTTCCACACTGACCCCAGTCCATTTTAGTTGTTGACTTGTCTGACCAGATAGACAATGCAGGTTGCAGCAATACAAAAATTTATTCATATGATAACACAATATACTGTACAAACTAAGCCAAGCTTGGGCTACATAAAGCTCTTTTCACCCTTTCCCCAACTTTGTGGTGCCCCCTTTGGCCCGGGTGCCCTAAACGTGTGCTTAGTCTGCTTAGTGGTTGATCCACCCCTGCGTCCTCCCAAGGACAGCCTTTGGCTGCAGGGGCCAGTCTCAAGGCCTGCCCCGGGCTCATGGCAAAGAGGATCCGTTTGTTTTGCTCAAAGCGGCCTCTCTTCATCCCAGAAGCAGTTCTGGTTTTTAAAGCAATAACACCAATGTTAGATTCACGTCCAGGAGCGCCTTAGAGACCAACAAGATTTTGGAGGGATGATCTTTCGAGAGTCAGAGCTCGAGAAAGCTCAAGGCCCCCCCCCCCCATTGTTGGTCTCTAAGGAGATACTGGCTTTGACTCTCGAACGTTCATGCCCCCTGTGACGACCCCTTAGCTGGGGAGGCCTGGTTTCACCTCAAAGTGTTCTTTTTATTTTGTTCAACTGGGTAGGTTAGGCTGCCACCAGGAAATTTTAGGCTTTCCAAACTTTTATACTTTCTTTTGGCTATCACTGGGTAGGTAGGTCGAGGTTTTAGGCTTTCATGAGGGTCTATGTGTTTCATGAGAAATTATTTCTTTCAGAGCTGGCAGACTTAAATAAAAGAAGATTTATTGAAGCAGTTCATAGATTAAAGTGTAGAACAATGTAACCAGTAATGTGAATAATTTTAACACTTTCGTTGTGTCTCCCACAAGATCTGCTCCCTTTCTTACAGGGATTTTTCAAGTAACTTTGTAACTCATTACTCAGGGTCATATACGTTTCCTATTTCACTCCAGTCTGTCACTCAGATTTTTTATTTTTCTCTGTAACTTTACTTTCTTGTTTCCTTATACATTCAACTTTTCTTCATACACAGAACTTAACTCTTGTATCACACACAATACTGTCTCTCTCTCAGACTTCCGAACTAACTACTTAACTCCTTAACTGTCTTCATCAACTGTCACCCTTCAGTTTATCAAAACCTCAAACTGTCACTCCTGATAGACATACATATTCATCCACACAGCATCACTTCCAAAACCCCTCCCCCTCTCTGTCACTCACCAATCACACCACACTTGCTTCTTCAAGCACTCTAGACTATCACATGCAACCAAACTTTTAAAGAGACACACACCCATAAACAAGGAATCGTTACACCCCCAAAATCTTGTTGGTCCCCCAAAAACTCTGCTTTGACTCTCGAAAGTTCATGCCCCCAAAATCTTGTTGGTCTCTAAGGTGATACTGGCTTTGACTCTCAAAAGTTCATGCCCCCGAAATCTTGTTGGTCCCCCAAAAACTCTGCTTTGACTCTCAAACGTTCATGCCCCCAAAATCTTGTTAGTCTCTAAGGTGATACTGGCTTTGACTCCCGAAAGCGCATTCCCCGAAAATGTTGTCGGTCTCTAAGGTGCTTTTGGATTCAAATGTAACTCTTCTGGTGTGGACCAACACAGCGACCCTCTAAAGCAAAAATTGTCATGGCCACTTGAAAAATGGAGTGGTCATGATGATGCTGTGGCTAGGGGGTTGGATGGACTGGAAGGTCGAGGGCCCTGGGTGTAAATTCCCAGTAGGCCGTGAAGCTCAGAGGCTGACTTTGGGCCTGTTGCTCGCTCTCCTTGGCCTACCTTGCAGGGTTCGTGTGAGCCTAAAAGCGGCTGTGGCAGAACCACACTCAGAGCCGCGTGGAAACGGGCAGAGATGACAACCCAGGAGGGCAGGAGGAGTGAGAACCCCTTTGGCCGTAAAATCCTCAGTTGTGAAATCTCAGGGGAAGGGCCGAGCGAGGCGTCCTCCCTATTGTTTTGGGACGCTTTCTCGGGCCCTGCAGCGGAATGTGCCACTGAGTCCTGGCCCAGGGTGGTGAATTCATCTGGCTTGGCCAGGGCCCAGCGAGGCAGGGCCCAGCTGAGTCATGGCCCGGAGCTCCTGTCGGGCGGGGCGGGGTGCCAGGGCGGAATGGCCTGGGCGCATGCATGCCAGCCGTAGTAAGTGGGGGGTTTAGGAGTGGGGGGGGATTGTTCTGTGCCAGCTTGCCAAGACCAGCCTCGGAGTCCCCCAAGGGAGGGAGAAGAGGGGCTGTGGTTCTACAGGAACGCAGCCGCTTCCCTCCCTCTCCCGCCCCCCCCCCCAAGCGGGCCCCGCTCCCCATCCCTTCCCTTCGTTCCTGGCCGACCGCATCCCGCCTCCG